TAAGTGTATCCACCTTCTTTGCCAACATCTATTTGATTCCACACAAGAAACAAGTTAAGAGCAAAACAAAAGTGGAGAGAGATTGCAAAATTAATGAGATAGGTCCTACTAGCTAACCTCAATTGCATCATCCTTGTCCTTGAGGGTTTGATCTTTCTCATGGCAACCTTTCCTCAAAGATACGACCTCTTTCTGTAACATATCACACAGCACTCCAGAAACATAATCTTCATGCTCTGTCCTGGATTGTTCAACCAAAGATCCATTTGCCCTCTCCTCATGTCTACCAATTGTCTCATCCATCTGAGTCTGATCACTGGCACTGTGTGTGTTATCTTTCCCAGTTGCATCTGGGACTAGCTTATCTCTGTCTAGCAATCTACTACCACCATCAAACGATCTAGATGAACTCTTGGTTTGTTTCAATATTACAGTAGCAGTGTTGGAACGGTTGAAACCAGATTGTAAATTTGATTTTGTCCTAGATAGATAGCCATTAGAGGACGCTATAGAGAAGTTCTCAGCTCCACCAAGAGACTGAGACCTTGAAGGCCCATTGCTGATGATTCTTGCATCTGAGGATGGGCGGGATTTTCCATTCGATGCTTTAAACTTTTCCTCCAAAACCTTGAATCTTAGTTGGTATTTTTCCTAAGAAATCAATTAATGCTCAACTGTTAAGAAGAGGCTTAAACACATAATAGGAAACAGTTACCCTTACTTGTCAGAGCAGACTAAATTCAAAACAGTTAGCATACCTTTAATTGTGCTTCTGCCTTTGCAGTACGCTCAGCTACTGCCAGTTTGTCTCGAAGTTGTTGCATTTCTCCCTACAAAAATCATGTCAAATATTTCATTTTAAATCTCAAATAAAATTAACTATTCCTTTCCTGATCTGTTTTCAGTTCCACCGCCGCTTCTTAAGGCAAAATAAACCATCTTAGAACGACGGCACGCACACACGCGCGCACATCCCGTTTTCTAGCAACTACTCAAAAGCACTGTCTGTCTTAAGAATGTTGAATAAAAGAATAGATGAAAATACAAATTGAGGTCATAGTATTGCAGAAGGAAAGTATATACCTCCTGCCTTGCAAGCTTAAGCTCTGCTTCCAGTGGAGCGATGATGGCTTCAATGGGGGGCATTTCATCATCTTTTTGTGCAGCATGAACTCTTCGAAGTGTAGCTTGCGCTGCAAATTGTGCAGCATGAACTCTTCGAAGTGTGGCTTCCGCTCCAAAGCTGCTTTTTTTCTCATCATTTATTTTCTTAATCTCAAGATTCTGCAAATCATAGTATACAAATTATATTGCAAACAGAAATGCATTTGTTGGTTACAGAACTAGTAACCACTGGGTAATATAGCAGACTGAAGGTTTCAGCTTTTAAGTATAAAATATTAACATATAAGACTATCAAATCTCATATTGGTTGTACAGAAGTTCCACTTACAGACATTTTCTTATAGATATCAAACAGCTTGCACATTTTCTCAGTATGTAGACTCACAATCAGTCACAAAAAAAAAATCCTGCCTAACTCAAATGAAATGCATATACTAAATTGTTTGCAGTATTTAAAATAAGTACAATATATTTTTTGCATGGAAATAGATTGCTCTTTAATTTTAAGCAAATTGTTATAAGAAAATAAAAATCAACGCAATTGCTAATGCAAATAGAAGCACAACTTCGGCTTTATAAGCAAAATAGAGTACCTCTTCCACCGCCTTCTCTTTAAGGCGCTCTGAATTCCTCACAGACTTGATTTCCCCAACAGCATCTCCCAATTCCCCATCTTTATCTGTTATTTCATTTCATAAATTAAAAAACGTATATATCAGTCAAATTTGACCTTATAATTATAAAGTACACGAACTATAATTATAAGTAAGAAATTTCTTTTTAGGAAAAAGAAAAAATAGTCAAACAATATGGTAGAATATTTTCAGATATATTTCATTCTCCGAAAGGAGGTATTTATAATACAAGGTTACAAACCCTAGTAGGGTTTAACTAGGAAATAAGTGGTATCCTAATTACATAATATCTATACAAAAGGAAATAAATAAAATAATATCCTAATATAACAGGGATATCTCGCTGACACTCCCCCTCAAGTTGGAGCAAAGACGTCACTCATGCCCAACTTGTCAAGCGAGTTGAGAAAGATACTTGTAGAAACAGCTTTAGTAAGAATATCAGCTAACTGATACTCAGAACGGATGAAGGGGAAGGACACAATCTCCCCATCCAACTTTTCTTTAATGAAATTTCAATCAACCTCCACATGCTTTGTACGGTCATGTTGTACAGGGTTATGAGCAATTGCAATCGCAACCGTATTGTCACAATATAAATCCATGGGTTTCTTAGGCCCAAAACCAAGGTCTCTCAACAATCTCCTCAACCATAAGAACTCAGATACACCATGGGCCATTCCCCAATACTCGGCCTCAGCACTAGATCGAGACACCACCTTTTGTTTCTTGCTCCTCCACGTAACAAGATTGCCACCAACAAACATAAAATGCCCAGATGTCGAACGTCTATCCGTAGCTGAACCTGCCCAATCAGCATCTGTGTACCCTTATCTGTATGACCATACTTGGAAAAATTAACCCCTTGCCAAGAGTGCCTTTGAGGTATCTCAAAATACGTGTCACGGCACCCATATGGTCTTCACTAGGTGAGTGCATAAATGTTGCATTCCTAAGAGGACACAAATTAATGTGCAAACAACCAATTAAAAATACCCGCAAGTGCACGAATCTATTGA